AAATTCTGACCATTTCAGGAATGTTTTCATTTCCAGGGTGGTTTTCTCTCCCCTTGGTTCTGGATCCTGCACAGATGGGAACTTTTAAAATGGAGGCTTCTCTGACTCCTTTGCAAATATTCCCAAGGCAGTAACAAGGGTGGTGTAAGCGGGGTGCTCATCCCAGGTGCATCATAATTAGGAATGCAAAGACGCAATGGCTGCATCTAAACTGGCATGATTTTGCGGAAATACTTTTAATGGAAAAGTTTTTCCGTTAAAAGTATTTCCGCAAAAGCGCATCAAGATTGGCACGGATGCTTTTGCGCAAAAAGTGCTTTTGCGCAAAAGCATCCGTGGCCAGTCTAGACGCGATTTTGCGCAAGAAAGCCCCAATTGCCATTTTAGCCATCGAGGCTTTTTTGCTCAAAACAGTTCTTCCCTGTCTACACTGGCCCTCTTGAGCATGTATTCTTGCACAAGAGGGCTTTTTCCCGAGCGGGAGCGTGAAAGTATTTGCACAAGAAACACTGATTTTGTACATTACAAAGTCAGTGCTCTTGCGCAAATTCAAGCGGCTAGTGTAGACAGCTGGTAAGGTTTTGCACAAAAGCAGCCGCTTTTCCGCAAAATCTTGCCAGTCTAGACACACCCACTAAGTAAAAATGGTAAGCTGCAAAAGAAAAGAGCATGACACATGCTAACCTAAGGAGAGGGGTTGCATAATTAATATTTTGCCCCAGGCACAAAAATACCTAGTTACTGCACTGAATATCTCACAGTAAATACAGCTTTCCATCTCTTGGCTTCTTTTTGCAGTGCAGGCAGACCTAGATCCCATGAACTCCAGCACATTTTCAATGAAAAGAAAGGGAGATCAACAGATGGAGTTCCCTATCCACATATGAATGGATCTGAGCGGAGGAGAGAACCCGGTCAAAATGGCTCACAGGTTGGTGTATTCTAATTTTTATAGCCTAGAAGCCCTTTGAACAATCAAGGGAGCATTGCACAGTTCTCATGCATGCCACCTTGGTCTATCTTTTTTCAAAAAGAAATTTTAATATGGCAACATGCTAGAAGATTAGTGACCTAGGGTCTCAGGTCAGTTACTGAGTCACATTGTGACCCTGGGCATGTCATTTTACTTTTGTGACTTTGAGATTAATGGATGAAACGAGCTAAATACAATTGTGAATTGTTATTGCTTATTATTATTAATTTGATTTTTCCATTGAAGACAAGGATTACTGAAAGTGCTAGCTAGTAGTAACCCATGGAAATACTGTTTTGTCATCTTAGATAATATTAAAGAATAAGTCATGATGTGATTTTCCTTCAGGTGAAGTTGCTATTTTTCTGTTAGATGAAATTACCAGGAAATCAAATGAGAAAAACTGGGAAAGATGAATGAGTTTTATATTTATAAGAAAAAACTGGAAGCAAAAAAATAATGCTTATCTTTTTTGCATTACATGGATAAATGGAAAAATATAATGATTGCTGTTCTACACCTATGACATTTCTATGATTCTGGTGCAATAGTACTCATTTGATTGAGGAAACCTATTGAACAAATGTCATACCAGACTTACAAAAAAATATTGATAGTCACAAAAAAAGCTCTATGCAATCGAATCACCACACATATCTATGGAAAAAATGAGGATGTTAGTTATTTTTCAGTCTGTCAATAAAAAGACTATTAATAGGGTCTTAGAACAACTAGAAATCTTGTTATCCACCTGCAATTGGCTACACAATGGCATATCAGCAAGACTCTAAGTAAACTTTCATCTTACTTTTAGTGTGTTCCTTAAACAGTATTAAAGACAATTTATTTTAGAGGACTTTGCTTTCAAAAAGGAAACATAACTTAGCACAATCCTCTCATTCTTAATGATTCATAAGCAGGAATTTTTGTGTGTGGGTCTCTAAGCAATGTAACTCTCTAGATCAAGGCTACTCAACATGCAGCCTGTGGGCCACATGCAGTCCACGGCCCTCTTGTTTGTGGCCCGCAGTGCAATTTGGGTTTGGGGTGCAGTTTAGATTGATATGTGTTTTAGCAGTTAAATTCCTGGACAGTTGTGAAAAAAAAGTAGTCAACATAATGGTCTTCTGTTGATATGCATTTTAGTAGTTAAATTCCTGGACTGTCATTGCTCATTAAAAGTGCTGCCATATGGGTGGAAAATGGGTAAATATTGCATTATATTAATATCAGCAGAACCAACTTAAATGGGGCGTGTGTGTTGTGTACTTTTGCCGTAATCTTTGTATTCATGCCAATCAGTGTGAAATAAGCTATTTGCATATATTTACATATATATTTGCATGTATATGCAACCACACTTAAGTTGCAGCCCTCGGCATGTGCTGTGAGTATCATTGTGGTCCCTGGGGCTTCCAAAGCTGAGTAGCTCTGCAGCAGATGATGAAAGCAACTAAACGTCTGAAAAGTAGATAATCACAGAAGAAAGACAAACACATTTGACACACATTTCTCTGAAGTTTTCTAAAGTATCTCATAATTGAAATGTGAACAATGACAGAAAACTGTGTGTACACATGTGTAAAAGATAGAATATTCAGTGTAGTTACAAATAAATCAGAAGATTTTATTTGGGGAAAGATGTAACATGCAAATAATAAAATGCTTATTAATAAATAATCAAAAAACTCTACTCTTCAGGGAAGCCTATGAGTCCATTAATGTATTTTTGTAGAATAGCCCATAATTATTAATTCCTTGAGACAAATCTACATACCAGCCTATTTCAGACCTTAATTTTAGACAGTGTATTTTACCAGCACGTTTTAGTGATTCAAACATGGTTTCACGGTAATTTGCAAGCACAAAAAGGTAGGTCAGCTTCTGAAATATGACCATCTAATTCTACATCTCTGGATGCAACATGTTTTTTGTGCTAAAATTACTTAGACAGAGGAGATCCTATAGAATTATGCTAGGACTGGAAGCTTCAATAGATCAGAGTATTTCTCAAAAATATGCCCTAGAGCTTGTGCTTACCAACATATCCAAGTGGGGTGTTGCAACCATTTTTCTCTTCTTTTATGTTAGATTTGGAGGGGAAACTCTTTTCTACTGTAACATGGGGGCAGGTTATGGACAAGCTGGAGAACCTATGGCTTATGTAAAAATGACAAGGAGTCCTGTGGTACCTTAAAGACTAATAGATTTATTTGAGCATGAGCTTTTGTGGGTTGTAGCCCACTTCATCAGAGGCATGAAGTGGAAACTTCTGTTTGACATATGTATATATATGTCCCCAAAAAGGGACTGTTACATTACTATGCAGAGGACCAGTATAACTGAGGCCAACTCTTTTACGGTGGAAGTGGACCATTCCCAACAGTTGATAAGGTAAAAATGCCCAGATGGATTGGTTCTGGGCTAGTATTTTTGTTGTGTGATGTGTGGTTGGTAGTATTTATTTCAAGTTGGGAGGCTGTGTGTAAGCAACATCTGTGAGAGTGAGGGATCGTCATCTAGGATATGTTGTAGATACTGATGTGCTGAAGAGGTTTTAGCTGGAGACAGTAGGTAATGGCCAATGGCCTTTAACTGGGGGACTGTCGGTACTAACTAGAGGCATTACCATACTTGAACAAAAAACTTTCAAACCCAGCCTGCAGCATGAAACTACAGAGCTAGAATTAATATGCAAACTTGACACTATCAAAGTAGGTTTGTACAAAGAATGGGAGCAGCTAGCTTATTACAAAAAATATTTCCCCCCCTCTTGGCATTCTCAACTTCTTATCAACTGTAGGGAGTGGGCCACATCCACAGTAATTGAACTGGCCTCATTCACACCAGTCCTCCCCATAGTAATGCGACACTACCACCTTTATATGTACATATCTCTGCCAATCTGAAGTTTCCACTTCATGCATCTGATAAAGTGGGCTCCAACTCACTAAAGCTTATGCTCAAATAAAACTGTTAGTCTTTAAAATAGTGATAGAAATGTAGCCGTGTTAGTCTGGGGTAGCTGAAGCAAAATGCAGGACAATGTAGCACTTTAAAGACTAACAAGATGGTTTATTAGATGATGAGCTTTCGTGGGCCAGACCCACTTCCTCAGATCAAAACCTTGATCTGAGGAAGTGGGTCTGGCCCACAAAAGCTCATCATCTAATAAACCATCTTGTTAGTCTTTAAAGTGCTACATTGTCCTGCATTTTGTTAGTCTTTAAGGCGCCAAAGGACTTTTCACTGATTTTAGTGAAGCAGACTAACATGGCTGCTCCTCTAAAATACCACTTAAGTGTTCTTCCAGTATCTTGAGGTACCTCAGTCTCAATTCATCCCCTCATTCTACTCAGGAAGAGAAAGCACTTTGCTTAGTCCAAAAGCAATCATCTTCCACTAAAATGCTGCTGTATTCACATTCAATCTGTCAGTATTTTGCCTAGTTAAGAAAGCATAATTACAATTGCACATCAAATTCTGGTCTCCCTTTAAACATAATTTGCCATGTGTAAATTTGAATTGAGACAAAGCCTTAAGGCTCCCTTGAACCTTTCAGAAGAATGAGATCACCCTCCTGCCAATCACATCATTTCATCTACAAATACATGCATGTTTAGATGGCTGTGGGCATGATACTGTGATCAGTGGGGGACATCAAAAAGCATCCACTGTGGTGTATAGACAAACGGATTCCATAGACCAGCTATGGGTATATTATCTTTGCAATGCCTGTGAACATTACTGACATGGAACGAGAGGCCTAATGATGGCTCCAGAAATTAAACCCTTTACATCACCAAATGCAAAGCTGCTGCTAAGTATCAGGCAGGGAAAACAAGATCTAAAATATTTTGAAGAAGCTCTTGAGAAATTTTACTCAAGAGTAAATTGTGTAAAATTTACAGGTTTTTTTAATGTTTTACGCTACTGTGCAGTATAGGAATCATGACTTGGTCAGAAGTACACAAATATGGAACATATGGTTTAGTAATATAAAACATACAGTGAAACATACACTCACCTGTTAATGCCTGATCCACCAAATTGGTTGTCATGAAAGTCACAGCTGGTGTAGATACAGCTGCAACCCTGGTAACTTGTGTTGGCATCAAAGGAGTCATATGAGCATCCATTCTAGAAGCAGCACCTGCATACAGAGTACAAGGAAACATTAACTTTTTTTCCCTCTAGATAAATTTACTAAAAATTTATTTTGCTTGTGCCATCTAATTTCAAAATTACTTAATTCAGTTCTTGATAAATATAAATGGGAAAATATTTCCAAACATTTCTATGAATAATCATTTGAATGTTTAAATTAATTTATGTTCACTGTGTTCATACCCCTTTTGTGTTTGCTTTATTCATTGTCAGGGATGTTCATAGAGAGAGTGAATTTTAAGCAAACATTGGAGAATAATCACAGAAGGTGATTCTCAATTAGTCAACATGGAACAATTTCACCAGGCACCACATTTGCTGAGATCTAATCAGAGATTTTCTGCTCATCTACTCAAGAAATAGACTACATCAAGTTTAATCTCTTTGCCTATCAAAACTAACCAACCTAACCTTACTTTTTAATGTGGATTATTCACAATGAAATGATTTTTGGCCAAAAATTATTCTCCAAAATTATTTGGCAAATGATTTAAAAGAAGAGTATATCCCTGAAATCACAATCTACTCAGACAAGTCAAAAACTGAAAAAAGTAAAAATGAATCAAATACATTATTTATGATGAATTAGTCACTATTGCTGAGCTCCCCTGCTAAATCTATGCTAATTAAAACTGAACTACTTAGTCTTTAAGATACATTTCAATTTAGAGCTACTGAAAAATTCATTGTTAAAACCTAAGCACTAATTTTCACCTTTGTGTGAGTTTACTCATACATTGACTCTGTCCAAGCACGATCACCAGATTTTTAGAGTCTTTGGTTTCACTGAATAGTCTAACTGTACATGGGATATGGGATTATTTCTGTAGTACTTGAGCTTTATTGTATCAGGAATGCATAAAAACCCCATGAACACATACCAACTCC